AAGTATAAGTAATTTATATGAAAATACATCGGTTCAATTTAATTTTCGTCATCAATAGGAGTGATTAAGTCCTCGAAAATCGTGTTTTCTTACAAATTTTTAAAATAACTGTGGTATATCGGGGGTATATAATTAAGCAAGTCNTTACAAGGTAATATAAAATAGAACCACTCCTTCCTCTACAATTATCGTCATTTTTGTTTTAAATATCCGCAAACATAAATCGAAAGGGTCATTCCATGCGAAATCGGACACATTTTGAAACATAAGTATAAGTAATTTATATGAAAATACATCAGTTCAATTTAATTTTCGTCATCAATAGGAGTGATTAAGTCCTCGGAAATCGTGTTTTGTTTCAAATTTTTAAAATAACTGTGGTATATTGGGGGTATATAATTAAGCAAGTCCATCATGTTTTTGTATTTTGCTGAAGAAACAGGACGAGATCCAGCGTATATAACATATAATATAATTTACAAAACTGCACTATTCTTTCGCACTTATAAAAATAAGTCCAGTGATCACAACTTTTTTAAAAATACTGAAAATAATTCAAAACAATACTTCACACACACTTATCACACGTTTCTATTTCTTTTACACTAAGCCCCGCAATTAATTTCCTGAGTATAGCGATTTATGCCACTTTCAAAATAAACGGCTCATATATATTTTCAATCCTTGTTAAAAATTATTACTTAATAAATGCAAAAAATATTTACTTATCTAAGGTTAAGAATGATTATTTTTTAAATATTTTTAGTGAAAATTTAATCGCAATATCTCCAATGGTTCAAAAGTTATACGAAAATGTGCATTTCTCGATCCGGAGAATATTTGTATTAGAGAATTGAGCTTTCCACTCCTAGCAGAAAACGCCGGTGGCTCCATCTCATATTTATCAATCAGCTACACATCTGTAGATAATACCATTTCTGTAATGAAATCTGTACAGCAGATACCGACTGAATCCATAAAGTCACGTGACTGTTCTAGCCCCTTAAATTTCCAGAATTTATATTTTTCAAATCCCAGAGGAGAAATTGTACTATTGATTATGATTAGACTGCGGATCTTTATGCAAAATAAAGGTTGTCTGCACCGATTGCAAGATGCAGGAACATAACAAACATTTGTTTTCTTTCTTAATGATTTCAATGAGTTGAAAATATTACAACAGTATCACTAAATTCGTTAAACGTCTTTACTGTACTGAATTTTTCTACTGATTTTTGTCGTAAATGCATAAAACTCGCTGTTTAATTATGACCCTTTGTGAGAATAAATACATTATCAATAGTACAAGTTTCATATTGCTCTGCATAGAAACAAAATATGTATATAGAAAATTGACAATAAATGACATGGTTGTATAACACAAAAGAACGTAGGTACGTGAGATTGAAAGAATAAGGCAGTGGCATAAAACAAGTGAGCGTGAAGTTACATAAAAAAATATAAATAAAAGAACATATTGTGCGTTTTATGTGATCTTTTTTCATTTTCTGTTACAAAAATTAAAAGGGATACAATTGAAAATCGAATCAATAAAACAACAAAATATTATTTGTAATTTCCTTTCTGGTTATATATTATATTTGTTATTGTTATTGTTATTGTTATTGCTATAGCAATTAGATATAGCAAAATATATATATTGCTTGCCTATTTGTTATTGTTATAGCCAAGTAATTAATAGATGTTCATGCAAAATAAAAATTTTCTATGATAATGATAAGAAACATAAGTTAGATGAAAATGTTTTTACTGTTTTAATAATTTCAATAAGTTGTATACAATATAAAAATGTTCTCAAATTCTTCCAATGTCCTTATATATTTTTTGGTCTAGTCATTTTTGTCATAAATCCACAAAATCCGCAGTCTAGTAATTAGTAAGAATTTCATGTAACGATTATTAACTCATATACATATACTGCAATTTCGCTTTATATTACCTAATATACATAGTCCAAAGTCATAGTCCCCTTTAACACTAAACCTTCCGCGATGATCAAAATCGCTGTCCCCACGTTTATCATTTTAAAATTATTGAAATTATGGGAACTTCATTGGGATTAATTGAATAGATTTCTTAATTCATTTCTTAATGAAATGGTGTAGGTTTCAAGTAAATTCAGCGTTATCATTCTTATAAAATAAAGCAACACGTATCAGCCATTTTTAATGTCCGGTAGCTTTAGCCTTGATGCAATTGTGCATAATTCAAAATCTCTTTTATCCGTCGAAAAAACGCAAGGGTTACCTTCGGAAAGGACTTGCTTGCATACGCAATCGTGTCGCAAACCGCTTCCTAAAAACCTTCAGGCTTTCATCTCCCTAAGAGCATTTCATGGCCGAGGCAGAAACGATAATGGAGTTTCTGGTCTGATGAAAGTGCTTCATGGCGGAGCGGCAGGTATCTGGCGGCCACCTGGCGGTAAACTGTTAACCGAGAGAGGCTAACAGATCGCGAACATGGCAGGGAAGTCGGGGCTCCAGCAGTGGCAGGACTGCCAGTGGCGATGGTGGCGACTGGCCGACGTCGTGCGTGTGTTTTGTTGCTGCTGCGATGCGTCTGCTAAATCAGCGATCGGCAAGTAAACGAGTGTGAGAAAAGTTAGTGGTCAGCTGGTGCGACGTACGGTGGACAGTGCTGAGAGAAGTAGCATCGTCCGGCTGCAGAACCGGAGGGCTGAATAAACGGACCGAGGGAGAGAAGTCGCCGTGCGACAGGCGAGAGAAAAAAAAGGTTACGAGGGGCGGATCGTCGGTGGTAAGGACCGTTCGTGTGAAAGTGTTAATATTCCTGGTAAACGATGGCGTAAGCTTGTTTTCCGAGAGCCAAGGCGTGCCGCGAACCGTGATTATCGTGTGCTTTCCTCGCCCGTCATTTTCCCCGTGTCGCCGTGCCACACGCATATGATTCGGCTGCTCCGAAAAGTCGCGCGCGCGAACAACGGAACGCGTATACAAAGTAAGGTCAGTGAAAACAGAATCGTGTGTGTGCTATGCTGTCCGGTTGGTACGCAGGCTATGTAGTGAATATATCGGTAACGTCGGCTCGTCTTTGACCGTTGCGTGTCGCGAAGCTCTTTCTCTCTTTCCGTCTCCCTCCCTTTCTCTCTCTCTCTCTCTCACGTACCCTCTTTCTTTCTTTCTCTCTTTCTCCTTCACGCGTGTACGCGCGAGCGTTCTATCTCGCCTGTCGTCTCATCCCGTTTCCCGTGCCCTGTTGCGACTATTACCGCTACTTCCTCGCGTCGTCGCGTTGTTGTTTTGTTTATTGTTGTTCGCACGTACTCGCGCAAGTGGTGCTAATAACCTAACCGAAACCAGTGGCTTTTAACTGTGCGAGAGAGAATATGGTTACGATGATCAGTGATACCTGCGGATACGTTCCCTTTCTGCTGTTGCTGTTGCTGGTTCCTTATATCGAGAGCGGTAAGTTTCTTTATATCTTTTCATCTCTCTTCATCTCTCTCTCTCTCTCTCTCTCTCTCTCCGATACTTACTTCCGGTTTGTCTACCAATCTGCACACCGGACACAAACTTTCCGATCGAATTTTCTCCCCATTGACGCGGGCATATCGCTCCCGTCACAATGCCACGCTACCCCGTGTCTCGCCGAACATCTGGCCCGTGAAATGTGCTTTTAGCTGGATGTCATATGCATATGCGCACGTCTCTCTCTTCCTCCCTCTCTCTCTCTCTCTCTCTCTCTCTCTCTCTCTCTCTCTCTTCATCTCACTGCCTCTTTCTCTTTCGCTCTCTCCGTAGCCGTGTACGCGCGCGTTTCTGCGTGTGCGAGACCGTCTCGCTGCGTCTCATGAATCATCCTCTCACGACCAGTGCGTTTCGCGCGTTCCGTGTAATGCGTGCGGAACCGAACGCAATCATTCGAAATTCCGACCAATCAGAAATCTTCTCGCGTATTAAAATTTCGACCGATCGCTCCGCCACTTATGATTTTCGCAAAAATCACTGCTATACTAGACTCATGATAGACCGCAAATAAAAAGTGCAAAAATGTGTTGATCTAATTCTAGATGGATATCCAAAATTGATATTTTATTGTCAGCTAGTGTATCAAATAACAAAAACTTTATTACAAAATGCAGGAGTTCTCGGTATATCAGTTAACAATAAACCTATCGTGTCAGTCAAAATATTTGATTTTATTTTGAAGTTATACGAACTCGTTTGTAGGAAATTGATTAAATGAATTTTTTAATTGAAGCATATGTAATAATGTCAATAGCGAACAGTTTAAATAAACGCAGTACTAATGAAACAATACATTTAGGGTTTAGAATTATTAGATGATTTGAAATGAGACCTGTGAAATGAAAACTATTTCTATGACTAATTCGTTTTCATATAAATAAATTACTTTGCTCAAATATATATCTTCTTTAGAAGTCTAGTCACTGTTATCAAGCAACATACATTAGCCGCGTTTAGGGTGGTTCTAGTGTTAAACTCGGGATGATGCGGGTAAACCGATTTGTTCTCCGAAATTTTTTCACAGCGGAATAGAGATGAATGAAAATTCTTTTGTTTGGAGGTCGAGCTTTAAATGGAACTTAATCGGATCATCGTGGTATGTACGTCTCTCGCTTCGGTCATTTATTTTTCAAACTTTTACTGCAGGCGTTTAGTTTTTCGGAGTCTTTCGGAGATTTTCGGAGTTTTTCGGACATTTTTTTTGGGAGATCTGTTTCATGAAATAATAACGATCAACGAAACGCGTGTACATACACGGTTCTCGTAATTGTTCGAAACGATGGGGTAACGGGGAGGAGCGTTCGGAACGGTAGCATCGAAGTTTTGTACGGAATTTCCCGCGTTGCTATGCGGCTCCATTAGTCACCTGTGACTAATTCACGTCTGATCTTCCGCGGGACATTGTGACCAGTCTTTTAGCTAAAACCTGTGTTTCGGGACGTTGAATCGACTGTTCGTCGAAATTACCTTTCTTATTTGTTCATGCTAGCTTTTTTAAATTGGATTTTTAAATTTGGACAATAAATTCGACCTTTAACCCCTTCACGACTAAGGAAAACATTTTTCCCCATTTCAAAATTGGTGATTGTCGTATTTAATTATTGGTTATTTTTGGTACAGAACACAATTTGCCAGCACACAACATGCAAAAAGCGGAGAAAATGAAAAGATGTGCAAATTGTGCTAATGTTCATCTTTGCTCCACAACTAAAAGAAATTGCTTCGCAGAATATCATAATTAGCACATCATTTTGTATAGTAATTTTATTTAATAATTTTGTATTATTTTAGTTAACATTTTGTTGGAATAAACCAATAAATAAAAGACATTGCATAATAAGCCTAACCATAATTTGTGTTACCTTNTCGAGCTTTAAATGGAACTTAATCGGATCATCGTGGTATGTACGTCTCTCGCTTCGGTCATTTATTTTTCAAACTTTTACTGCAGGCGTTTAGTTTTTCGGAGTCTTTCGGAGATTTTCGGAGTTTTTCGGACATTTTTTTTGGGAGATCTGTTTCATGAAATAATAACGATCAACGAAACGCGTGTACATACACGGTTCTCGTAATTGTTCGAAACGATGGGGTAACGGGGAGGAGCGTTCGGAACGGTAGCATCGAAGTTTTGTACGGAATTTCCCGCGTTGCTATGCGGCTCCATTAGTCACCTGTGACTAATTCACGTCTGATCTTCCGCGGGACATTGTGACCAGTCTTTTAGCTAAAACCTGTGTTTCGGGACGTTGAATCGACTGTTCGTCGAAATTACCTTTCTTATTTGTTCATGCTAGCTTTTTTAAATTGGATTTTTAAATTTGGACAATAAATTCGACCTTTAACCCCTTCACGACTAAGGAAAACATTTTTCCCCATTTCAAAATTGGTGATTGTCGTATTTAATTATTGGTTATTTTTGGTACAGAACACAATTTGCCAGCACACAACATGCAAAAAGCGGAGAAAATGAAAAGATGTGCAAATTGTGCTAATGTTCATCTTTGCTCCACAACTAAAAGAAATTGCTTCGCAGAATATCATAATTAGCACATCATTTTGTATAGTAATTTTATTTAATAATTTTGTATTATTTTAGTTAACATTTTGTTGGAATAAACCAATAAATAAAAGACATTGCATAATAAGCCTAACCATAATTTGTGTTACCTTTATAGTCCATTGGGAAAAATATTTTCCATAAAATTCCAAAAAAACTATACATTGTTATATATTTTTTTAAATGATTTTTTTATTTATTTTACGTGTAAACAAACAATTTTTGTTTGTTACATAATTACACTCGGCGCTGTTGATAAAATTCTCAATACAGAATTCACGTTAAATCCGGTGAAATTGTAACAAACTTCGTCAGAGTTTTATTTTTGCACACACTTCTGCAAATATGGGTCAAAGTTGACGCATCCGGTAAATGATTATAGAAATATTGAACATTCCAGCGACGATAGGGGTTTGTTTGTCTTACCAGCATGATTGTTCACATGTGTAACAGACGTTTAAAAAAATATTCGAAATAATACTGAAACATGGTTGGAAGCTATCCTGTTATTCCTTTTTTTTGTTTTATTTTAGCATGAAATAGCTAACAAACAGTATTGGTTGGATGTGGTAATATCTCTCATGATTATTCGAGCAACTTTTAACGTTTGAATAACAAAAGTATTGTGCGGTTGTAGCGTGAATATAGCGTAAAGGAACTTTATTAAAAAATCATTTGCCAATCCTCGGGCAAACAACGTTTATCAATATCCATTTGTTTTATGGACGCTTTTACTAGTGCACCATAAGATTTTAATAGAATACACCACCCGGTAACCGGGATTTCAAAAATAAAAGGATTACAGCAGGGTGTTAGGTGATATCGAATAAAAAGGATGTTTTTGATTGAGAATCGTTCACGCTAAAAGCGACGTTATTTTATACTTAGCTTACGGAAATTGTGTAAAACGCATACTCTCGTTAGTTCGAATAATTATGCAATGTTATATTGTGTTAAACAATTCTTGTTCGTTTCTGGTCAGCATACGGTCTACAGTTGCATCTGCATATTGCATTTCTTGTCGTTGATGACATGTTTGGCAAATCTGAATGCGCATTCAAACGAGCTTCGCAAATTACGAGCTCATAGATAAGAAAGATAACATTCATTTCGAGCTTTAATATCGCCGGATTGCCGCGGAATCTTTTTAGTCAATATTATTTTCCGAATTATTCGACTCGCGTATCAATTGCGAGTTAATTCTATAAATATAACAGTTAATTTCTGTCGAATTTTGCGTAAATTCTGATTCGGATGCGTGCATATTTGATGAAAAGATTTGTATATGTATATGCATGCGTACCGGCGAATCAAAAAGCGTCTTCCCTAATTGATACAGGCAATTTCCACGAATTGCGCGTTAATCGCAATCAAATTTTGCGTAAATCCCGCAGATCGCGTTTCCAGCTGCATATTTATCTTATCGCAACAGGTCTGTGCAATTTACCGTCTGGAAAAAATTGTTGTCTTTTCGGTTTTCACCGAGTGCCGGCAAGGAATTTGTCTGTTTAGTCGAGTAAGAGAGTTCCCTCTTCTCCAGAGTGTAAATCGTAAAATTACCGCCACCGGAAGTGCCAATTAGGGACCACTGGCCGATGTAGGTGATAGTTACATGCTCGAGAACGCGACGCTGTATTATCTGCCCGAAGCTAAGGCAGACTGAACAAAAAAAAAATACAGTGCAGAGTAATGCTGACATCATTTCTGTAATTACGTTTGTATCACTTGTTAATTGCTGACTATTTATTTCCCGCGAAATGTATTCAACGTGTTCATTCGTTTAGCGTGAAATCAGTTTATTAATACAATGTTAGACGGAATAAAATTTCATGCTCTTGTAGATTATACGGTTGTTGTCCTTGGATTATCTCAAATTAGCAACGTACACGTATGAAATTCGCATACCTTATAGAAAAATTGTTCTTAAGTGCTCCTATGTAAGCTTCATATTTCAGCAAATGGGCAGCGAAAGGTTTGCCGATCTCGTAATTTGAAAGCAATTTTTCCCGCAGCAATTTCAATTTAACGTTTGCGCAGAACGAACAATTTATTATTACTAGGGGATGCTGGGAACGAAATAGTGTCTACCCAACGAAATTCTATTCGCAGGTGGCAAAAAATAGTCGCAGATCGCGCGGTCGGAATATAAAGATGTAGTTAGTTCCTATAAGTGAGCCGTTTCGCTGCGCCTTCCGAGCCATATCTTAAGACCGATTCTTCTGTTACGAAGTTTTCAATTCTGCGACGAACCCCATCGCCTCGGGGCGAGCGGAAGTCTTCGGGAAATCTTCAGGCACGGCACGTTGCCGCTGTCTTCATATATTTCATTCGGAAAACGGCGCTGGTTTCTGGAAAATGTACACTCGAGAGCTGAATAATA